TCCTCAAGGCAACCATCTTCAATACTTTCTGTCCACATACTATCATCTGGGATGATGTAGTCCACCAAGCAGGAAGGCTCACGGTTCTTATATATTCGAAAAGGCACATCATTAATTGTGCTGTGCCACTTGCAATTCTCTGCAATAGCAGAGAGTAGTAAAGGCCAGACATTGGCCTGAAGATCTCTAGGCAACTGTTGTAAAAACCTTGCAAGTAACCTTTTGACTTGCTTGTTGAGATTTTCTATCTGGCCTTGAGACTGTGGGTGGTGTGGCCTACCATGAACCATGCAAACTTCAAATTCTTTGCAAAGTTTTTGCACTACCTCTCCAATGAATTCACCACCATTATCTGACTGAATTACAGTAGGTGACCCTTCCTTGATGAACAAGGCCTTCAGAACGGCATACACTTCTTCTGCAGACTTTGTTTTTAACGGGAACAGCCAACAAAACTTCGAGAAACAGCACTTGACTGTTAGAATGTAACGGTAGCTCCAACAATTATTCTGCATAAAACTACGGTGCTTCTTTGGGGCCATGTCAATAAGGTCACACTGTAGTCTGGAATGGGGGCGAAAAGATCTAATGGGGACAGGAGGGGGAAGCACTCGCATTGGCAAGGGGTTGTTGACCTGACATGTTGAGCATCGAGCCAAGAAGGCCCTAATAAGGTTGAAAATACCCTTAAATACATATTTTTGATTGAATAGCCTACTCAAGGCATTCACCCCTCCAGGGAGGCAAGTATCCTCTCCAAGGACACCTTTAATGTAGTGTAAACTGCTTAATACACCATCTACAGCCTCTCTGTAGAGAAGTTGCTTTGTAGTCTTAAGCTCTCCTTGAACATAACTGTTGACCAAAACAACAAGGATGCCATTTTTGTCACGGACAATCTTACCTTCTTGGTCAAGTTTTAGTGTGTAGACTGGTCTTTTCAGGCTACGTCGTTCAAAAAATCGTCTTTTATACTGATTAAAGAAAGCATTTAAGTTTTCATTCTTCTCTGAAGAAATACCATCTTTTGGGAAAGATGTATATCCTGGAGTACAATACAAAACTGCATCTGCCAGTTTTTCATAAAAATATTTCTGGCATCCATTGAAGCTACAATCTGCTAAATAAAATATAGTATTTGTGAATAAGTAATAGTTATAGAAGATTGCTACCTTTAACATACATTTATTGATTAACCCTTTACACCCTAACATCATTATGCATATTCTCCATACTGTTCTCTATACATTTCCTGAAGCCCTGACAAAGAGAGTTTTTATAAAAATCAAGAGATTTATAAATTGTTGGTCATTTCCTTTATTCTCATGAACTCAATGTTTGATTCAGGGGAGATATTGTAAGGAGAAATTAGAAGCTGGTCACTTTTAGGGGTTAAAGGGTTAAGATTTTTTCTTCCATAACCGGTAAAACAGATCCTATTTAATGGTTCAGAGATGACCTTTCTACAAGTAACTGGAATTGAGGCAATGGAAGATATTACTGCATGCTCAGTATATTGTTGCACAAAAGTATTTAAAAGTTTCCTGTTTCTGAATTTCAGTCGTGGATAACTGTTGTATTCCAGCACTGTTATTTTCCAGCCCCTCTCAGCTGTTCTCAGTTTCTCAGCAGGAGTTAACTATTGTATTCCAGCACTGTTAATTTCCAGCCCCACACAGCTGTTCTCAGTTTATCAGCAGGATTTACTGTTGTATTCCAGCACTGTTAATTTCCAGCTCCACACAGCTGTTCTGAGATTATTAGCAAGGAATAAATATTCTTTTCCAGTCCTTACTTGTATTTTCAGTTGCATACTATTCTTCCCACATTTCTTAATAAATGAACCTATATTTAGTGGACACTTCTATATCACAGACACTGGAGAAGGTTCTCAGAGAAGTTACCTTTGATACTTTTATAACTATAAAAGTAATAGCTTTCACTGCAATTTAAAGTGATTTAATTTTTGAAATACAGTTAACTTCTCCACTAACCCCACAACACCTGTGCAAAGCATGTCAATTACAAATAACAAATATGGAGAGTTGCAAATTACTTTCAATACTTTATAGTGCAAGCAATGTATTCCCTACCGTCATTTTTCAGTGTTTTCTTTCCATTTACAGACTCAAGTGGCTGTAATGAAAAAAACAAATTCAAACAATTTTACCTCACTTCTTAAAGCAAGAAGTCACAAGACTAAACAACAAGTGTAGAAACTTAGACATACTTAGGCTAAAACTCTGATTCAAAAATAAAAAAATGACCCCCTGCAAAAAAAAATTGTACCACTGTCTTTGATACCATCCTGTCACTCTCCTATTTTTTTTTTCACTTTTCTTTACTTCTAATTTGTAAACACATATAATGCTTCTTCTCAATGGGAAGTGTCTTCAAGAAAACTCAAATAACGAAACAGTATTGGCAAGAAAGATAGCCAAATGAACAGTAGTATCGAATTAGAGCTTAGAGCAATTAAACAACATGAATGGCTGCTACACCCCATTCTTTTTTCCCAGGTCTACATGAACTAGATTTTGAGCACAGAATGCAATACCTCACCAAACATCTGCTATGATGACTCACTTAAAAGTGTGCATGATTATCACCTCTTGCTGAGATAGCACACTTCACTTCAATGTTTTTATTACTACACATATGGGGGCTTTGGTAAGATTGTGGAAAGGAGGGACAACGTTTGAGCAGCTGGGAGGGACCAAAATGACAGTGTGACAGCCATTTATTCCCACTTGGATGGCAAAGTCTGGGGAACCTTCCCCTGGAAATTTAAAAGTTCAGATGTCCAAAAGGGTCCATTTTAGGCCACTATTTCCCAAGTTGGCTAAAAATTATAGCTGCTACGAGGGTGAGTATTGACACTGAATTAATGAATAGAGTACCTTTTATGTAACTAACTATATAAACATTATACATAGCAATGTTGTCTCTGTGATGATGTCTGTGTGGTCTTGTTTGATTTTTTTTTTTGCCTTGCTCAAAAAATGAGATTGTGCTGAGGACGACATTAGATTTTGGGGTACAGTGCTGTGATTTCTAACACAGTATCTTTAATGCAATTACTGATGGCAAAGGAGTTAATCAGTACTTCAATGATAAATGTAGAGCATGGCAATTAATGAAACGATCAATGTCTAATCATGAACTAGCTCTTTGTCAGTGACAAGTTCACAAAATTAATATTGGTGAAGGTTACTTCATACAACAATTACTGTAAACCACCATACCAAAAAACATGGTGACTGGTACATTCAACCAGAACTCTTTGTGCAAGAAAATACTGGAACCAATCATAAAAACAAGCAGTAAAGGTCTGAAAATTTAAACCTTGCATACATAATGTTGTTGTTTTGTGAAATATTGCTTTCTACGAGTGCCTTAGCCTAAGAGTAATAGTAAAATGCACAGGTGCCATATTTGTCTGTGAGTGGATTGAATCTATTGGGTGAACACCAGAAAAAATAGTAATATTGATACAAATAGGCTGAGGGTTTAGTATAGGTATGCTGTGGTTTAGTTTTATCCTTAGTTTAATTCTTTTACTTTTAATAGAGGCCAAATTGATAGTGACACATCATCTCATCATAACTTAGGCTAGGAGCTAAATTTTATCTTTCTTTACACAAAATACATTTTTCATTCATATCATTAACAAAACCAAAGGAAAATGATGTTTATACCAAGGACAAAAATTAAGCACAACATATACCTTTTTATAACTAGTGCATAATTCGCCAAGAAAATGTTTAGAATAGAGCTTACCACCTCATCAGCACTTTTGTTTTCTTTGCTTTGCTGCTGGTTCTCATCCATGCCTGTATGAATGATATTTAGTAAGGGTGAAAGGATTGGTATTTTCTTAGCAAAGATAGTTGCAGAGAGTTTCTCCACTAATATACAGATCGCCAAATGCTCACAATGAATGCCAACAAGACCAAGTTCTTGCTAACACATGTAGGAGCAATAATTGCTAATAGTAGGCAATAGTCTGTATTGAATTAAGTATTCATTTCTGCATGAATTAGTGTTTATTTCATTTTAATGTTTGTGAAACATAGCTGAAAAAGTATGGATAATGTGGTAACATATAACATACATATTGTTATCATATTCCTTATAATTTGGTACAGGGGACTTTACTCTAAATTGATCAAAATAAAGAAAGTGGCATATGTCAGCCACTGATTTAAATAGCAAAGCACTAATTATTAAGTGAAGAGTAATTTTGCTGCAATTCTGTCCCTTCTGGGTGAGCAAAGAGAATGATTTAATATATTGTAACCCAACTGTTACTTGTTGGAGAGCATTGGGAGACAGCACCCTATCCTTTATGAAAGAGACCAGATCTTCATCATACGAGTTAGCAGTTTGTGAGTTAACCTCCCAGGATATGTGATATTTGACATCAACCATACCAGAGGTTGAATTTTTGCGTAGTCCCATACATTTACAATGAATACATGTCTTCCACTGTATCCATAATAGCCATCATTGTAGGCACAATGAGATGGAGAAAATCACACATTTTTGGGCATTGAAACACCGAGATCTGCCCTGTTTTTCAATTATGTAACATCTAGTTTTACATGTCCCACGCAAAATATAAAAATCAGCCCTCGACACTGAAGGATTCAATGAATCCAAGTTAGTAGTTACTCGCACGCTTCGCCATGCTGTCACATGAAATCTACAGTATTAAGCCCAAAACTTGAACGTGATCTTTGAAGAATGGTTGTAATATTTGAATTTAACAAAATACTAACATAAAATGCAACCGAAACCTTACCTTCCTTTAGTAGTTCCGACAAAAAAGCACAACTTCGATCACCAGCACACTCCAAACCAATAAGGGAAGCTACGTCAAATTCTCGTCTTCCTAACCTTTCCAACGTATCGAAGAAAATTTCACTGATACTTCGCGCTTAAAAACGCAACAAGAATATTAATCTTTCAACAATCCGAAGTGTCCCAAAAGGCATCAAGGATAAGCCCATGAAACAAGAATAGCCCATAAAATTCTCAACCTTCGAGCGCGGAAAACTTAACGATAGTCTCACAATTTTGCATTGCATCCCTCCCCTAGTTGGGAAGTGACACGCAGAAGACACGTTCACAACGCACTTTGATTGGAAGAAATAAAACCGCATTCTATTGGTTATTAGGTGTGAGGACATAACTACAACGGAAGACACAACTGCAACGCTACAAACAAACTCATACACTGCGAGTTAAAATGTTGGAACTCTTCTCTATCATAGTCGTAATTATAATAGTATTTCATGATCTTATATGCCTTATTATATTTTCCTCTGATGGCGTCGAGACCGGTGGTGTTTACAGATTTAGGACACCACTTTGGCGAATATTACGGCCTGACGAAGATCCCGAAGTCGGACTTACGGCAAAAGATCCACAAGCCGATAAAGACGTTATATCGCACGTTAACAGTGGAAGTCGGGAAAAGTACAGATCGCAGTTTATATCAACATTCGCGTCTTACGATGCTGCACAGGAACGTATGGCAAAGGATAAAGGACAAGGTTTGACCAGATTACGAATCGCCAAAATTGAACCCAACGCTTTGCCGGAGTCTTGGAAATTGGAGATAGTGGACCTGACAACCGAGGAAAACCGAGACAAACATTTAAAAAATTCTAACAGAATCAAGAGTTATGCCAGGAAATCCTTTGAGGTGCTTCTTGTATGCAATGTGCCAATCCCATGTCACGTCGTTGATCCCCTGAAACTTTGGCGATTATTGCGGCCTGACGAAGATCCCGTAGTCGGACTTACGGCAAAAGATCCCCAAGCCTCTAAAACAGTTTTTTCACACGTTCACTGTGAAGACCAGAAAGGGTACAGATCGCAGTACATATCGACAACAGCGTCTTACGCTGCTGCTGCACAGGATTATAAGGCAAAGAAAGAGAACGAAGGTTTGACCGGGTTACGAATCGCCAAAATTGACCTTGACACTTTGCGGAAGCCTTACGAATTGGAGTTAGTGGACTTGAGATCTTCGGAAAACCAAGACAAATACTTAAAAGGTGCTCCTAAATGTAAAAATATTGCCAAGGCATCCTGTAAGGTGCTTCTTAAATGCAATGTACCAATCCCATGTCACGTCATTGATCCCCCTGAATGAGAAAATAATGTCTTAGAAAGACTCTGGAGAACTGTGTGAACGTTTTAAAAAGTGCCCAGCTAGTAGGGAGATCAGTTATCAATGTTCTTTTAAGTGAGCGGAGGTAGGGAAATACAGTTTGTTAAAATGTTATTTTTAGTCATTTAATTGCTAAGGTGTGTTATATCGATTCATTGCCCATCAAAAAGTTTGTTAAAAGGGGATATTCAATTTTCATTAGATTTGTTTGATTTAGACGGATTTTTCCTTGTTTTAAAGTCACGGATTTCTTCTAAGTAGTGGGCACTATAATAAGATCCTAATAGAGCTTTCAGGTTAGGCCACGAGGCCACTGTTTGTAATGAAATATAGGAAGGAAACTTCTCCTTGGTGTTTGTAACATAGACAAACAATTCTAAAATAAAAATTGTCTTCATGAAGCGTCTTTCTTGAATAGCGTTGAACAATATAGATTGTGCGTATCATTTAACTGTTCCTGGGAACGAGACGAAATTAGTACTGACATCGTCGACGGCGGTTTGTTTTGGCTCAGCTGCTATGCAAACTGTTAATTTCTGTAAGTTCTGTGATGTTTGCAATAAAGACAATGCTACAATAGATGCCTAGTAAGTGGACACAGAAGTTGTTGTAGTCTCCAACACAAGCTAGCTTTTGTGTCAATTCCCTTTCATCCAAACAGTAAACCTACAATGCTACAATAGATGCCTAGTAAGTGGGCACAGAAGCTAGTAAGTGGACACAGAAGCTAGTAAGTGGACACACATGCTCTAACGAAAATATCCCCCCAAGCAAATGACCATATGGTATACCATAACCCTTTACACGCTAACATCAGTATTCATATTCTCCATACTGTCCTCTGTACTGAGTTGCTGACAAGGAGAATTTGTCAAACAATCGAGAGTTTCTTTAGTTGGTAATCATTTCCTTCATTCTCATGACCTTAATGTGTGATTCAATGGTGACATTGTAAGGAGAAATTAGATGCTAGTCACTCTCACGGATTAAAGGGTTAAATATTCAAGAGACTATAGCAACAGCTGCCAATAACTCTCCTCTCTGTTTACCATACAGTCTAATTGGCTTGAACTTCTGCATCTGAGGCATCACAGAGTCTTGCACACATGGGTCTTGGATGTGTATCCAGTACAACTACTTGGGTAGCAGTGCAAAGTTTGGATGCATTACAATATTCTGTTAATCTACTCCAATAATCCTTCACTTTCCCTTTATTTGCAAAACAATAATAAAACACTTCATTTGTACTGTTTGACATTTATTTTTCAGTTCTAGAATATTTTTAGATTGAACCATACTGATTAAAAATTTTTGTTATCTTACAATTGGCACTCATCAATCAGAAGCCACATGAAACATTCTTAAACATTCTTCACCAATATAGTGCACCACCTGGTCAATTTTTCTTCCTATAAAAAATATCCAGTTGCTGCTCTGACTCTTATTCTGTGACATAATGCTTATGTTTTCTTACTATCTTCACATACATACAGTCACTTAGAACAGCTCAAAAATGTCTCCCATGGCCTCAACAGTTGGTGGTTTTAAGCAGGCAAATCCCATCAAAAACCCCATCCTTTACCATGAATAGTATGACATAAATATCTTGATAAATGGATGGTTCTTGTTTGAAAATACAAGGTGAGTTGCTTTTCATTTGAAAATGTAAGGTCGCAGTTTCCTTTGCTTCCTTTGTTTTCCTGTGTCTACTTTCTTTCCTTTGCTTCAACTCTTTGTTTAAAATATGACTGCTTCAAAGCAAGAGTGCTAAAACTTACCTCCACACATTGCCTAAGTTGTCATAATTAAAAGATTACTAAATTAAATATAACTAATATTTTCACAACTACACAACCTTTTATATGATATATATATATATATATATATATATATATATATATGTGCTACTAAAATAATACTTAAACCTATTATTAACCCTTTGACTGCCAGAACTGATTAACATGTAACTTCTCCCTATAATATCCATACATTATTCAACACAATGGTAATGAGAATACCCAAACTCATCAGGTAAAAGATATTACCTTGATTGAAAACCATATTTTCCTGACCAATTCAAACGGAATGTAGCAGCTGGAGTGGAGAATTAACAATCAGATCTTGGGAGTTAAAGGGTTAAACAAAAAAATCAGAGGGCTGTTTGGAAGAAAACTCAAACAGATACTAAGATCAGCAAAACGAGATGCTGGAAAGGATGGGAGGGAAGAAAAATGGCTTTTCAGAATGCAAGTGCAGTTCATGTACGTGTGCTAGCAAGCTGACCAACTGAATGTCAGTTACCTGTCACAACTGTAGATTTGGGGCATTGATCAGCAGTTACGAGAAAACTTCAAATATTTGTAGAATAACTGCCAATGTTTGCTTTTATTTTATTTTCACATAAGGCACCCCAACCTCATGTGCCCTTACATCATCTCTACCTTTGAGGTCTCTGCAGAATAAAATTAAGGTACATCATGCAACCAAGGCAATGTGGGGAGGTAAGTTTTAGCACTCTTGCTTTGAAGCAGTCATATTGTAAACCAAGAGTTGAAACAGAGGTTAATGATATTCAAGTACACAAATCTTAACCTTGACTCTTAAGGAATTTGAAAGTTTCTTTTTTGTGATTCTTGGAAGTACTTTAAACATCGATGTAAGAACTCAAAAAGATAATCAGGACCAAATCAAAAATCATACATTGCAGTGTATGTTGTTATGCAAACACAAATATAACAAAGGCAATAGATACAATTTGAAAGAATTAGAAAGGAAAGTAATTGAGAAACATGAAAATTACACTACTTTCTGAAAAGGAATTATATACATAAATAAATCAATTCTTCTTTTCTCCAGCTTGATTCTTCTCTTAGTCTTTGTATTCTTCTCGTCTGCATCCTTTCTAATATGGTTAGCAAACATGATGCGAGTGACATGTCTCTTATTTCATAATAAATAAATGATCCTAGACCAATATATAAATAACCATATAATCCATAGCTCTCTTCTGGGTAAATATCAATCCTATACACCCCAGAATCTGTATACACATTCTGCATACAATTCTCCGTACATTTCCTATGGCACTGAATGGGAGAATTTGTCTGATGATCTATAGATTCTTTGGTTGGTTATCAGTTCTTTTCTCCCTATCACCTTAAATCTTGATTCAGAAGTGACACTTAAAGGAGAAAAGTTAAATATCAGTAATAATTACCTCATACTTTTTTTTTCACTTTTTTGTTTTTCTTCTTTTATTTACTCTTCGTTATTAACATTTTATTGCCAACACCTTGAATCTAAATATTTTGTAATGATTATACTTTTTTAGTTATTCTGAGTAACCTTTTCCTATCCCTGTCCTACCATCATATTAATTAGTAAATATTTTCTTCTGTTGCTCCAAGAGGTCGATTTGGAATAAAAGACATGGGTCCAGTAAAAAAATTAGGTGTGGTAGTTGAGGAAGTGTATGAAATTGAACATGGTTTAGCTGTTTTGCCCAAGATGATGATATACTTTGATGGTTACCTTGTTTTCAAGCTTAAATGCAGAAGGGAATCAGAAGCTGGATATATTTTTGCATAGTAAATATAAAAATTAAAATACGACCAAGAAAGGAATTGTATGTTAAAATTCACATGTTATGTTAATTGTTAGTATATATCACACAGGTGAATAGTGCAATTTTGGTATATGAACAGAAATGATTTTTCTTTTTTTGGTTTCTGTATGGTACATACGAAAACAATTATTCACCTACGTATCAGTGAAAGTGGCGGATATTTACCTCCTCTTCGGTGAGTAGTTGTTAAATAAAATGTATTATATATATAAGCATTATGTTATATTCCCACTCTTTGGATTTCTCCTGCTTGTCAAGGCCGTCCCTCGGTGATGAAAAACTGCTGAGAGAACCACTAGTGTTATTGAATCAAATCAATACATGCGTTTAAGTTGAACCGAAGCGGATGGTGTGACTGGTGAAAGCCAAGAGGAAGATCTACTGAAGTGTCAATATCAGACATAGTTTGATGCTACTCTGGTTTACAGATTTAATGTATGTAACCGAAGAAGTTACAATTCATAGACCCAACGTTTCGATACTCCCGTGTCTAGTGCCTACATCAGGGGTGATCTAAACGTTGCAACAAGAGGTCCTTTTATATGATCACTAATTAGCGGTCTTTTTTCTGACGAGGTGTAAATAGGCGTCAGGAAGCAAACCGCCATCGTCACGATTTAAAGGAGCGTGGGCGAAGTTAATATGCCAAGCCTCCAAACAAAGGCGCTGGTGGTAACGCCGATTAGTGGTGATAATTTTAGAATTATCCCATCCAATTGTATGGTTAGTTAGGCATGTATGCTCCGATAAAGCTGAATTTTCCTTTTTGTAAAGGAAAACCGCTTTTTGGTGCTCTTTTAACCGTGTACCAAACCGACGTTTGGTCTGTATGTATTCGTTGTCACAGTCATTGCAAGGAATAGAATAAATGACGTCGGTTCGTTGTTCTTTCGTGACAGGATCCTTCGGTTTGGCGAAAATATGCCCCAAAGTCTGAAAAGGATATGTCGATGATGTTATTTCTGCGGTATCCGGAAATGAAGCGGAGCGACTCTTATCGCATTTGAATTCAGTAGAGACGTCGCGGACAAGCGAGTGGGTTTTGGTTAGGGTCGGGTTGGTTTACGACCCGACCCAAGCCTTCCTCGTTTTTCACTCTTGGCGAGTCGCGCGTGACGCGCCGTTTAATATTTCGTTCCATTTTATAAACTGAACTTCTGAAACAGGCTACTGGTTGAATCAAGAACCAAATAAAAGAAGGTTCTAGCCTGCAGAACAGAGGTGATTTTTTATTTAACTGCGTTTTCCAGGCGTGTAGGGGCAAAAGCGCGTCACGCGCGACTCGCTAAGTCGCGCTCGCCTCGTGCGCTCGTTCTGTAGGGCCTGGTTGGTCAAAACACGAGCTACCTACTAAATCCACAGTATACAAGTAAAAGGCTATTTACACTTCTACAAGTGATACATCCATCTCGGTGATAATCTCAACTCGGGTTCGTTTCCAGTCGTTTCCCTTGAATTTTTTATTATTTTCCCAAACCAAACTTGTGAGTCGCGCGAAAGTAAATATAGTTTCAACCGATATTTACATCATCCACTACTGCTAAAGAAAGCTTTCTGACTAGTATGCGTGATGGTCACTTTGCAAGTTGGGAGGACATCGTTTCTCGGTTCCAGACCCCTCTCCAAAAAAAAAAAAAAACAGGTAGGTGACACGCGGAAGTGAAGCTGCATAATTAACGAACAAACTCACAGTAAACAAGATGGATCTCCAGAATTTGAAAGTTGCCTGTGCGATTTTGATTTCTCTTCTTATAAGCCAGAATGTTATTGCCTCGGGGTTCAAAGTGATTCAAGACAGTGGCTGTAAAAAAGTTTTGCTACAGGCACCAAACCATATCGTAACTAAAAAGGGCAAACTTCGCAGTTCAAAAGTCGGAGTAGGATACGAGGTCTGTGCAGAAATAGGCGATTACACCCATTACTGTCCAGGAGGTGGAATATGTTGCTCGCCCGGAAATCAAAAATCCAAATGCTGTCCGGCAGACCATCCTTTATGCCTACCTGAAGGATGTTGTCCAGAAGGATATCCAAAGGTATGCGGTCGGTATTGCTGCGAGGAGGACAGTTTTTGCTGCAACGGTGAAAATTGCTGCTCTAGTGAAGAAGCTTGTTGTGGGAAAGACAAATGCTGTACGCAAAAGGCTCCTTGTTGTAAATACGGTGAGTCTAAAGAATGCTGCGACGAGAACCTTCAGGCGTGTTGTGATGGCTATGGATGTGTTGATCCGTGCAAGTCTCAGTTCGACGCTCTCGGATGTCAGTTGGCTGGTCGTTCACTTTCCTCCGATAGCGTCGATGATGAATGCAAATTTGGGAGCAAACTTTGGCGAATATTGCGACCTGACGAAGATCCCAAAGTCGGACTTATTGCTAAAAATCCCCAAGCCTCTAGAAAAGTTATATCACACGTTAACTGTGGAGGTCGGAAAGGGTACAAATCGCAGTTTATATCAACAACAGGGTTGTACAAAGTTGCACAGCGTTATAAGGCAAAAGGAGAGAAAAAAGGCTTGACCGGATTACGAATCGCCGAGATTAACTATAAAGCCTTGCCAAAGCGTTGCAAATCGAAGACAGTGGACTTAACAACCGCGGAAAACCGAGACAAATACTTAGGAAAAGCTGTTTGTAAGAATTTTGCTAAGGCCTCCTGTGAGGTGCTTCTTCAATGCGATGAGCCAATTCCATGCCGTGTCGTTGATCCCCCTAAAGAGAAAATAATATCTTCGAAAGACTCTGGAGAACTGTGAGAACAGTTTTAAAAGTGCCCAGCTAATAGGGAGATCAGTTATCAATGTTCTTTTAAGTGAGCGGAGGTAGGGAAATACAGTTTGTTAAAATGTTATTTTTGGTCATTTAATTGCTAAGATGTGTTCTTACAAAATTTCGATCCATTGCCGATAGAAAAGTTTTTTATAAGAGGATATACATTTTACGTTAGATTTATTTGATTTAGACGGATTTTTCCTTGTTTTAACGTCACGGATTTCTTCTAAGTAGTGTGCACTATAATAAGATCCTAATTTAGGCCCCGAGGCCACTGTTTGTAATGAACTTTAGGAAGGAAACTTCTCCTTGGTGTTCGTAACATAGACAAGCAATTCTTAAATAAAAATTGTCTTCATGAAGCAGCCTTTCTTGAACAGCGTAGAACAATATAGATTGTGGGTATCATTTAACTGTTCATGGGAACGCGACGAAATTAGTACCGTACATCGTCGACGGCGGTTTGGTTTGGCTCAGCTGCTATGCAAAATATTCATTTCCGATAGTTTTAAGGGATTGTGGTTCTGTTATTTTGGCTCTGTATAATGTTTAGAATTTATTACAGTTTTCTTACTAGTAACAAACCTTAGCTTAGATGGAAATCAGCGACATTGTTGTAAGATGAAACAGAAAAAGAAATTGGTGTCACTAAAGGGACCGGGGGAAAGAAGGATTTCAATTATTTGCCAAACTGGTACCACTCTTTTCCCAAAATCAATGTCACTTTCATGTACATTAATTTCAAAAGTTTTGCTCTGTAAGTTCTGTGATGTTTGCAATAAAGACAATTCTACAATAGACGCCTAGTAAGTGGACACAGAAGCTGTTGTAGTCACCAACATATTCCAACAAATAATGTCCCCCCAAGCAAATGAACACATGGTATAGTCATCTAGTGATGCCTTAACCCTTTACACCTAACATCAGCATTTATATTCTCCATACTGTTCTCTGTACATTTATTGACATGCTGAAAAGGAGAATTTGTCTAACAATCAAGAGTTTCTTTAGTTGGTGATCATTTCCTTTATTCTCATGACCTTAATGTGTGATTCAGTGGTGATATTGTAAGGAAAAATTAGAGGCTAGTCATTTTCAGGGATTTAAGGCAATAATTTCCCTCTCTGTTTAGCATGCAGTCTAATTGGCTTGAACTTCTGCATCTGAGGCATCACAGAGTCTTTGCACACATGGGTTTTAGATGTGTGTCCAGCATGACAGTATGACTACTTGGGTAGCAGTGCAAAGTTTGGATACATACCATATTCGGATCAATGTCAGTATCTGGGCAACTGCCCACCTACCCCTCCCCTAACCCAATATTAACCCTAAATTGTTATCAATTGACTGTTGTTGAGTTAGGGGAGGGGTAGGTGGACAGTTGCTCAGATACTCATATTGATCCCAATATTCTTTTGATCTACTTCAATGATCCTTCACTTTCCCCTTATTTGCAAAACAATAATAAAACAATTCGTTTATACTGTTTGACATTTATTTTTCAGTTCTAGAATATTTTTAGATCGAACCCTACTGATTAAAAATTTTCATTATTATTTAACTGGCACCTATCAATCAGAAGCCACATGAAACATTCTGAAACATTCTTTACCAATAAAGTGCACTGCTTGGTCAATTTTGCTTCCTATAAAAATATCCAATTGCTGCTCTGACTCTTATTTCATTTTGCAACAAATTGCTTATGCTTTCTTACTATCTCCACATACGTACATTCACTAAGAACAGCTCAAATTTACCCCATGGTCTCTATAGATGGTGGCAGTTAAACTGGCAAATCCCATTTAAAACCCTATCCATTAATTACCATGATTATTATGACATAACTATCTCGATAAATGGCTGCTTCTTATGTGACAATGCAAGATGAGTTACTTCTAGTTTGAAAGTGTGCAGTCAGTTTCCTTTGAAAAACTGTGTTCAACTTTGACACATAACAGCAAAGTGAACAGTATCAAGCAGCTTCATCATTTGCCTACCCAGCTGCCTGGAAGGATTCCATTGCTCATTCTCAATAAGTTTGCCTCCACCATGAGTGTGTACTCATATGTGAGAATGTAGCACAGGTGTATGGAATTAAATTTGTATAGGTGTCCACTTCACAATTCACATTGCCTTTTACTGACACTCTAAACCACAAAACAAAACACCAAGCAATATTTGGGACAAAGACAACCTTTTTTAGAAATCAGTTAATTAGTAATATTGTAATAATTACAAGATTACTAATTAACTAATATTTTCACAACCACACAACTCTTACATGATATATATATAAGCTAATAATAAAATAATACTCAAACCAATTATTAACCCTTTGACTGCCAGAAGTGATTAACATGTAACTTCTTCCTATAATTTCCATACTTTATTCGGCACACAGGTAATGAGAATACGCAAACCCATCAGGTACAAGATATTACCTTGATTGAAAACCAAATTCTTGTCACCAATTTACAAGGAAATGTGTGATAGCAAGAGGGGAGAATTAACAATCCCATATCTTGGGAGTTAAAGGGTTAAAGAAAAAATCAGAGGGCTGTCTAGAAGAAAACTTGGACAGATCCCAAGACCAGCTAAACAAGAATAAAGGGGTAAGTTTCTAAAGAAACTGTGGTGCTGCATCAGTGGGAGAGTATAGAAGGTAATTTAGTGTTAACAACTGAGTTGAAAACGTAAATTAGCCACCGTAAAGGGTAAAAAAGCTGACATTTCAAGCATCTGACAAAGGGCTAACACTTGAAACGTCAGCTTTTTTACCCTTTACAGTGGCTAATTTACGTTTTCAACTCAGTTGTTAACACTAAATTACCTGCAGCTGAGCAAGATACTGGGAGGGATGGGAGGGAAGAAAAATTAGCTTTAAAGAATGCAAGTGCAGTTTATGTATATGTGCTAGCAAGCTGAGCAATAAAGCAACTGATCTAAATTATTAAATAATAACTAAAGTACCTAAAAAGTAATCATGACATCACTGTACTTTTACTTGCAATAGGGAACTTAACCAGCAGGACAAGTCTGCTGATGTCAAATTACCTGTACTGAGTAGGCAAGCCTGATCTCAATTATGATACAAGACTGTCTCTGTACTGATTTGTTATGTTTGTGATTTAGAAGCACATCACCCAGAAACAGGAGATGTAACTACGGCATTCCTACTCAGTGACTTCTTTCCTTTTATGTTTTTAATTACATTTTTGTGTTTTGCATGCACATTTTTCTTATTGTTTTTGCTTTCTTTTCAGTCACGGCGATTTGTATTTAGTTTGATTTTTTGCAAAAATTCTGCTTTTACTTTCATTCGTAAAAGTTTCTTTAAAAAATTGAACATTGGAGTATCAGAGTGCATTAGGTTAACATCAATTCTTTCAATGCGATCATCTTTTAGTTTTTCCGTCCTTCATGTAAGTGTCTTTCCTTGTCCAATTGTATTTCCTCTGTTGTTTTGCATTTCCTATTCCTTCTACTTCACAATAGCTTGTAATTATTTGTTCCTTTTAGCAACCACAATCAACCGTAATGTAAATAATTTTAAAGTGTTCATGTGCTGAAACCTGACTTTGTTGGCAGTCACAGGAGACATTTAGACATATCTTAGCTGCATGATGTACCTTAATTTTATTCTGCAGAGACATCAAAGGTAGAGATGAGGTAAGGGCACATGTGGTTGGGGTGCCTTACTGTGAGGCCAAAGAGCAGGAAAAAAGGGTGTAGACAAACTTTGGCAATTATTCTACAAACATTTGAAGTTTTCTTGTAACTATTGACCAATGCCCCAAATCTATGATTGTAACAGATAACTGACATTCAGTTTGTCAGCTTGCTAGCATGTATACATAAACTGCACTTGCATTCATGAAAGCTATTTTTCTTCCCTCCCATCCTTCCTAGAATCTCATTTAGCTGGTCTTAGTATCTGTTCAAGTTTTCTTCCAAACAGTCTTCTGATTTTTTTTTAACTCTTTAACACCCAAGATCTGATTGTTAATTCTCTCCTTTAGCTGCTACACATTTCCTTGTAAATTGGCTGCGAGAATTTGGTGTTCAATCAAGGTAAAATCTTGTACCTGATGAGTTTGAGTATTCTTATTACCTGTGTGCTGAATAATGAATAGATATTATAGGAAGAATTAAGTTAAAGGGTTAATAATATGTTTGAGTATTATTTTATTTTTAGCCTATATATATATATATTTCATGTAAGAGTTGTGTAGTTGTGAAAATATTAGTAATATCAGTAATCTTTTAATAATGACAGCTTAGGCAATGTGGGAAGGTAAGTTTTAGCACTCTTGCTTTGAAGCACTCATATTGCAAACAAAGAGTTGAAAACAGAGGTTAATGATATTCAAGTACACAAATCTTAACCTTGACTCTTAAGGAATTTGAAAGTTTCTCTTTTGTGATTCTTGGAAGTACTTTAAACATCGATGTAAGAACTCAAAAAGATAATCAGGACCAAATCAAAAATCATACATTGCAGAGTATGTTGTTATGCAAACACAAATATAACAAAGCAATAATTACAATTTGAAAGAATTAGAAAGGAAAGTGGTTGAGAAACATGAAAATTACATTACTTTCTGAATAGGAATTATACATAAATGTAATGGGGCGGACGCTGACATAAATCAAATCAAACTTGAACAACGCCGGAACCTCCTTAAAGTCTATCAATCTCAACTGGTGTATTAATCACTGGAAAGTTCGTAAAAACTCAAATACAATAAGTTAAAATAGGCTATTACCATGCAATAAACGCGAATCGAAATGTCCTAAACTCGAACGCGCAGGGCGTGTATATAGATTAATCAAACAACACAAATATCTTAGGCGCAACAAAACTACCTTCGATTATACACGTTTCGGTTTGTAAATACAAAAGTAAATAAGATGACATACCTCTTTCCCCGTTTCTAGTATATCGACAATCCTTCGATCTGGCTATGCTTGCGACTAACATGTGTCTCGTGGCCGAATGAAACCTAATGCCGAAAGTTCGAGGGTATGTCACACAAAACAAAACAAAAGGGTATTGAACGTCACTCAAATCATAACTAAAAATAGCCTTCGTTACAACAAATAAATCAATTCCTATTTTCTCCAGCTTGATCCTTCTCTTAGTCTTTTGTATTCTTCTCGTCTGCATCCTTTCTAATATGGTTAGCAAACACGATGCGAGTGAATTGTCTCTTATTTCATAGTAAATAAATGATTCAGAAGTGACACTTAGAGGAGAGAAGTTAAATATCTGTATTAATTACCTCATACTTTTTTTTTTCTTCACTTTTTCGCTTTTCTTCTTTCATTTACTCTTCATTATTAACACTTTGTTGCCAACCACCTTGAATCTAAACATTTTATAATGGTTATAGTTTTTTTGTCATTCTGAGTAACCTTTTCCAATCCCTGTCCTACCATCATATTAATTAGTAAATATTTTCTTTTGTTCCTCCAAGAGGTCGATTTGGAATAAAAGACATAGGTCCAGTAAAAAAATTAGGTGTGGCAGTTGAGGAAGGGAATGAAATTGAACATGGTTTAGCTGTTTTGCCAAAGATGATGATATACTTTGATGATTACATTGTTTTCAAGCTTTAATTGCAGAAGGTAATCAGAAGCTGGATGTATTTTTGCATAGTAAATGTTTAAGTTAAAATACGACTAAGAAAGGAATGTATGTCAAAATTCACATTTATATTAATTTTAGTATATACCACAGGTGAACAGAAATAGGGGACCAGGAGTGTTATTGAATCAAATCAATAACTGTGTTTAAGTCGAAGCGAACCGGATGGTGTGACTGGTGAAAGCCAAGAGGAAGATCTGCTGAAGTGTCAATATGCGCGCGCCATATTTCGATTGTGAAATCAGCTGTTCTCTTGATCTACAAATAAAAACTGCCTCTTTTGTCCGCGGACAAGCGAGTGGGTTTTGGTTAGGGTCGGGTTGGTTTACGACCCGACTTAAGCCTTCCTCGTTTTTCAC